TGCACACACACCGCCCCCTGTGCACACACACCTCCCCCTGTGCACACACACGCCTCCCCCTGCCCGCCCCCTGTGTGCACACACACCGCCCCCTGTGCACACACTCCTCCCCCTGTGCACACACACACCTCCCCCTGTGCACACACATGCCCGCCCCCTGTGCACACACCTCCCCTGTGCACACAACGCCCCCTGTGCACACACACCTCCCCTGTGCACACACCTCCCCTGTGCACACATACCCCTCCCCCTGCCCACAGACACCTCCCCCTGTGAACACACACCTCCCCGTGTACACACACACCTCCCCCTGTGCACACGCCTCCCCCTGTGCACACACGCCTCCCCCTGTGCACACACACACCTCCCCCTGTGCACACACACCTCCCCCTGTGCACACACGCCCCTGTGCACACACACCTATCCTGTGCACACACACCTCCCCCTGTGCACACACCTCCCCTGTGCACACACACCTCCCCCTGTGCACACACCTCCCCTGTGCACACACACCTCCCCCTGTGCACACACCTCCCCTGTGCACACACACCTCCCCCTGTGCACACCCCCTCCTCCCCGTGCACACACACCTCCCCCTGTGCACACACATGCCTCCCCCCTGCCCGCCCCCTGTGTGCACACACACCTCCCCCTGTGCACACGCCTCCCCCTGTGCACACACACCTCCCCCTGTGCACACCCCCTCCTCCCCGTGCACACACACCTCCCCTGTGCACACACACCCTCCCCCTGTGCACACCCCCTCCTCCCCGTGCACACACACACACCTCCCCCTGTGCACACACACCTCCCCCTGTGCACACACATGCCTCCCCGTGCCCGCCCCCTGTGTGCACACACACCTCCCCCTGTGCACACACACCTCCCCCTGTGCACACACACCTCCCCCTGTGCACACACACCTCCCCCTGTGCACACACATGCCTCCCCGTGCCCGCCCCCTGTGTGCACACACACCTCCCCCTGCCCGCCCCCTGTGTGCACACACGCCTCCCCCTGTGCACACACACCTCCCCCTGTGCACACCCCCTCCTCCCCGTGCACACACACCTCCCCCTGTGCCCACACACACCTCCCCCTGTGCACACCCCCTCCTCCCCGTGCACACACACCTCCCCCTGTGCACACACGCCTCCCCCTGCCCGCCCCCTGTGTGCACACACACCGCCCCCTGTGCACACACACCTCCCCCTGTGCACACACATGCCTCCCCCTGTGCACACACACCTCCCCCTGTGCACACACGCCTCCCCCTGCCCGCCCCCTGTGTGCACACACGCCTCCCCCTGTGCACACACACCTCCCCCTGTGCACACACCCCCCCCCCCTGTGCACACACATGCCTCCCCCTGCCCGCCCCCTGTGTGCACACACACCTCCCCCTGTGCACACACACGCCTCCCCCTGTGCACACACACCCCCCCCTGTGCACACACACACCTCCCCCTGTGCACACACACACCGCCCCCTGTGCACACACGCCTCCCCCTGTGCACACACGCCTCCCCCTGTGCACACACACCTCCCCCTGTGCACACACCCCCCCCCCTGTGCACACACATGCCTCCCCCTGCCCGCCCCCTGTGTGCACACACACCTCCCCCTGTGCACACACACACCGCCCCCTGTGCACACACGCCTCCCCCTGTGCACACACGCCTCCCCCTGTGCACACACACCTCCCCCTGTGCACACACCCCCCCCCCTGTGCACACACATGCCTCCCCCTGCCCGCCCCCTGTGTGCACACACACCTCCCCTGTGCACACGCCTCCCCCTGTGCACACACACCTCCCCCTGTGCACACGCCTCCCCCTGTGCACACACGCCTCCCCCTGTGCACACACGCCTCCCCCTGCCCGCCCCCTGTGTGCACACACACCGCCCCCTGTGCACACACACCTCCTGTGCACACACTCCTCCCCTGTGCACACACACACCTCCCCCTGTGCACACACATGCCTCCCCCTGCCCGCCCCCTGTGCACACACGCCTCCCCCTGCCCGCCCCCTGTGTGCACACACACCGCCCCCTGTGCACACACGCCTCCCCCTGTGCACACACGCCTCCCCCTGTGCACACACACGCCTCCCCCTGCCCGCCCCCTGTGTGCACACACACCGCCCCCTGTGCACACACGCCTCCCCCTGTGCACACACACCTCCCCCTGTGCACACACATGCCTCCCCCTGCCCGCCCCCTGTGTGCACACACACCGCCCCCTGTGTGCACACACACCTCCCCCTGTGCACCCCCCCCCCGTGCGCACCCACCGTGGTCACTGTGCCGGGCCAGGTCCTGTGGGCCGATGAGCAGGTCGTGGTCGCTGTCCAGCTCCCAGAACTTGCAGTAGATGACGTAGAAGTGCTCGTACGAGAAGAACTCCGTCAGCTGGTTGATGTCCGGCTCCTCCTCCAGCAGCGCCACGTTCTGCGCGCACACGGGCCACGTGGCGCACACGCACACGCACACGCACGCACACGCACGTCAGGGCTGCGTCCCCGCACGGCCTCCCGCGGGGGCAGGGGGGACCCAGGGGCGCACAGGGAGCTGAGGCTCAGGATGAGGACGGTGCTGGGGACCCCACACGGGAGCCTGTCCCCATGCCCACACGCCCACACACACGCCCACACACACGCCACACACACGGGAGCCTGTCCCCATGCCCACACGCCCACGCACACATGATCCTGGTCCCCATGCCCACAGGCCCACATACACGCCCACACACACGGGAGCCTGTCCCCATGCCACACGCCCACACGGCCTCCTGTGGGCCACTCTCAGGTCCCTCACTGGGCCTCCTGGACGGCGGAGGGAAGGATGGATGGATGGGTGGGTGGAGGGATGGATGGATGGGTAAATGGATGGATGGATGGATGGATGGGTGGGTGAATGGATGATGGATGGATGGGTGGATGGATAGATGGATGGAGGATGAACAGATGAAAGGATGGATGGGTAGATGGATGGATGGATGGATGGATGGATGGGTGAATGATGGATGGGTATATGGATGGATGGATGGATGGATTGGTGGATGGGTGGATGGATGGATGGATCAATTGGTGGTTAAATGGATGGGTAAATGGATGGATGGATGGATGGATGGATGGATGGATGAACAGATGAATGGATGGATGGGTGGATGGGTGGATGGATGGATGAATAGATAGGTGGATGGGTGGGTGGATGGATGGATGGGTGGATGGATGGGTGGATGGATGGATGGATGGATGGGTGGGTGGATGGGTGGATGGGTGGGTGGATGGATGGGTGGATGGATGGGTGGATGGATGGATGGATGGATGGGTGGGTGGATGGATGGATGGATGGATGGATGGGTGGGTGGATGGATGGATGGGTGGATGGGTGGATGGATGGATGGATGAATAGATAGGTGGATGGGTGGGTGGATGGGTGGATGGGTGGATGGATGGGTGGATGGATGGATGGGTGGGTGGATGGGTGGATGGGTGGGTGGATGGATGGGTGGATGGATGGGTGGATGGATGGATGGATGGATGGGTGGGTGGATGGGTGGGTGGATGGATGGATGGATGGATGGGTGGGTGGATGGATGGATGGATGGGTGGGTGGATGGGTGGGTGGATGGGTGGGTGGATGGATGGGTGGGTGGATGGATGGATGGATGGGTGGATGGATGGATGGATGGATGGGTGGGTGGATGGGTGGGTGGATGGGTGGGTGGATGGGTGGGTGGATGGATGGGTGGATGGATGGGTGGGTGGATGGATGGATGGATGGGTGGGTGGATGGATGGATGGATGGATGGGTGGATGGATGGATGGATGGATGGATGGATGGATGGATGGGTGGATGGGTGGATGGATGGATGGATGGATGGATAGATGGATGGGTGGGAGGAAGGGAGGATGGACAGACAGGAGGATGGACGGACGGTGGGAGGAAGGAGGTGAGGGAGGGAGGTGGGTGCCCGCCGCACCTGCAGGAAGGTGCTCCTCCGCAGCTCGGCGCAGGTGATCCGCCCGGACCAGGACCGGTTCACCGCGTAGAAGATGCGCTGGATCACCTGCGGGGGGGCGGGGCTCAGCCGGGCGCCAGCAGGGGGCGCCCTTCTCTCCGCCGCCAGCAGGGGGCGCCCTCCCCGAGCTCGGGGCTACGGAAGCCCAGGTCCCTGTGCACACTCACCCGCCGCCCGCAGAGGGCACCCTCCTCGAGCCCTGGGCCTAGGTCCCCTGTGCACACTCACCTGCCGCCAGCAGGGGGCGCCCTCCCCGAGCCCGGGGCAGGGAGCCCAGCCGCCAGCAGAGGGGCGGACAGAGGGACGGACGGAGGAACGGACAGACGGACAGAGGGATGGACGGACGGAGTGGCGGACAGAAGGGCTGACAGAGGGACGGACAAAGGGACAGAGAGACGGGCGGGCGGAGGGACAGATGGATGGGCGGACGGAGGGATGGACGGAGGGACGGACGGAGGGACAGAAAGACGGACAGAGGGACGGACGGACGGGCAGGCGGAGGGACAGACGGAGGAACGGACGGACGGAGGGACAGATGGACGGGCGGGCGGAGGGAGGGACGGACAAAGGGGCGGACGGAGGGGCGGACGGACGGATGGACAGAGGGACGGAGGGGCGGGCGGGTGGAGGGACAGATGGGCGGGAGAACAGACGGACGGATGGATAGAGGGACGGGTGGATGGGCGGATGGACGGACAGGCAGACAGAAGGACGGACAGAGGGACGGATGGAGGGACAGATGGACGGGCGGATGGACAGAGGGACGGATGGAGGGACAGATGGACGGGCGGACGGACAGACGGATGGACAGAGGGATAGACGGAGGGACAGAGGGATGGGCGGAGGGGCGGAGGGACGGAGAAATGGACAGGCGGATGGAGGGACGGACGGACAAAGGGACGGACGGAGGGGCGGACGGACGGATGGATAGAGGGACGGGTGGATGGGCGGATGGACGGACAGGCAGACAGAAGGACGGACAGAGGGACGGATGAAGGGACAGATGGACGGGCGGACGGACAGACGGATGGACAGAGGATAGACGGAGGGACGGACGGAGGGACGGAGGGACGGGCGGACGGAGAGACGGACGGACAGAGGGACAGACGGGCGGACGGACGGGCGGGCGCGCGCTCACGGTGGTGATGTAGCGCGAGTGGAACTCGGACGCCGCCTTCAGGAACGCCAGGCCCGGGTGCGTGTTCACCACGTCCTGGGGGGGGGGGCGGCAGGTGAGGCCCCACAGCGCCCCCATTTCCTCCTCCACTGGGCTCCCCTCTCCCCCCTCCCGTCCTGTCTCCCCCAAACCCTTTCTCCACCCCAGGATGCCCCCCTCCCCCCCGGGGTTCCCCCCTCCCCGCTCTGGACTCAGCATCTGCTCAGCCACGTCCTGACCTCTGACCTGGGGGAGGGGGCAGCCAGGCCGGGGGCTCCCCTCCCCCCGGACCCAGCCCGCCCTCGGGGTCTGGGGGACATGGGGTGGACAGGGTGTGGACACGGGGTGCGCATGGGTGAGGGGAGATGGGGGAGGAGTGAGGGAGGGGGTGGGGAGGTGGGGGAGGGGAGGGGGGAGGGGGCGGGGGAGGGGGAGGCCCCCCTCCTGCAGGAAGGGCACGAAGTCCTCCTGCACCAGGTAGTTGCACCCGGGGCTCATGAGCAGGTGCACGGGGTGGACAGGTGTGGACACGGGGTGTGCATGGGTGAGGGGAGATGGGGGAGGAGAGATGGGAGAGGAGAGATGGGGGAGGAGAGATGGGGGAGGGGGTGGGGGAGGGGAGGGGGGAGGCCCCCACCTGCAGGAAGGGCACGAAGTCCTCCTGCACCAGGTAGTTGCACCCGGGGCTCATGAGCAGGTGCACGGGGTGGACAGGTGTGGACACGGGGTGTGCATGGGTGAGGGGAGATGGGGGAGGAGAGATGGGGGAGGAGAGATGGGGGAGGGGGTGGGGGAGGGGTGGGGGAGGCCCCCACCTGCAGGAAGGGCACGAAGTCCTCCTGCACCAGGTAGTTGCACCCGGGGCTCATGAGCAGGTGCACGGGGTGGACAGGGTGTGGACACGGGGTGCGCATGGGTGAGGGGAGATGGGGGAGGAGTGAGGGAGGGGGTGGGGAGGTGGGGGAGGGGAGGGGGGAGGGGGCGGGGGAGGGGGAGGCCCCCCTCCTGCAGGAAGGGCACGAAGTCCTCCTGCACCAGGTAGTTGCACCCGGGGCTCATGAGCAGGTGCACGGGGTGGACAGGTGTGGACACGGGGTGTGCATGGGTGAGGGGAGATGGGGGAGGAGAGATGGGAGAGGAGAGATGGGGGAGGAGAGATGGGGGAGGGGGTGGGGGAGGGGAGGGGGGAGGCCCCCACCTGCAGGAAGGGCACGAAGTCCTCCTGCACCAGGTAGTTGCACCCGGGGCTCATGAGCAGGTGCACGGGGTGGACAGGTGTGGACACGGGGTGTGCATGGGTGAGGGGAGATGGGGGAGGAGAGATGGGGGAGGAGAGATGGGGGAGGGGGTGGGGGAGGGGTGGGGGAGGCCCCCACCTGCAGGAAGGGCACGAAGTCCTCCTGCACCAGGTAGTTGCACCCGGGGCTCATGAGCAGGTGCACGAACCGCGTGGCCTCGTCGTGGCAGGTCTGCAGGATCCTGGGCGCGGAGGGTCCGTCCGTCCTCATCCTGGGCCGCCTGCCCGCCCGCCCCCCAGGGCGCACCGTCCGCCCCCAGGAGGGGCTGAGGGAGGGCTGGCCGGGGCCCCGCCCACTCCCTCATCCCAGCCCCGCCCCACCCCTTAAAGGGACAGGCACTCACTGTCCGCCCCCCAGGAGGGGCCTGAGGGAGGGCTGGCCGGGTCCCGCCCCCTCCCTCCAAAGTCCCGCCCCTCCTCCCAGCCCTAGCCCCGCCCCTAAAGAGAGGGGCCCTGAGGGAAAGCCGGCCTAGGCCCTGCCCCCTCCTTCCCAGCCCCGCCCCCAGGAGGGGCCTGAAGGACTGACCTAGGCCCCGCCCCCGCCCTCCACAGCCCCGCCCCCTCCTCCCAGTCCCACGCCTCCCAGCCCCGCCCCTAAAGGGAGGGGCCCTGAGGAAGTGCTGGCCTAGGCCCCACCCCCACCTCTTCCCAGCCCCGCCCCCTCCTTCCAGCCTCACCACTGGCCCCGCCCCTCCCAGCCCCACCCTCTCCTCCCAGCCTCGCCCACTGGCCCCGCCCCCTCCCCTGCCAAACCCCACCCCCAAAGGGAGGGTCCCTGACGGAGGGCTGGCCTAGGCCCCGCCCCCTCCCTCCACAGCCCCGCCCCAGCCCCGCCCCTAAAAAGGAGAGCCCCTGAGGGAGGACTGGCCTAGGCCCCGCCCCTCCCTCCTCCCAGCCCCGCCCACCGCCCCGCCCCTTAAAGGGCCCGGCACTCACTTCCGCCACATGGCCACGAACTTGTGGACGGACACGGAGCCGGTGCGCTCCCCACCGGCGGCGCAGAAGAGCGGGGCCTTCCAGTACAGCGGGCAGCCGCAGGCCTGGGGGAGGATGGGGGTGAGCGCCCGGGCCTGCACGCCCTCCGGGGGGTGGGGTGCAGGGGCGGGGGGGGGCCTTCCAGTACAGCGGGCAGCCGCAGGCCTGGGGGGGGATGGGAGGGAGCACCCCGGGCCTCCATGCCCTCCGGGGGGCGGGGTGCAGGGGGGGGGGCTTCCAGTACAGCGGGCAGCCGCAGGCCTGGGGGGGGATGGGAGGGAGCACCCCGGGCCTGCACGCCCTCCGGGGGCGGGGTGCAGGGGCCGCACCCCCAGTTCCCGGGACGGAGGCTGCCCTGGGGGGAGGATGGGAGGGAGCACCCCGGGCCTGCACGCCCTCCGGGGGGCGGGGGGGGGCTGCACCCCCAGTTCCCGGGGCAGAGGCTGCCTTGGGGGGGAGGATGGGGTGTGCACCCCGAGCCTCCACACTCTCCGGGGAGCGGGGTGTAGGGCCGGGGGGGGGGCCGCACCCCCAGTTCCTGGGACAGGGGCTGCCGCGGGGCTGCCCGCCTCCCGGCGTCTGGTCCCGGGTCCCCTGCGCCCTCTCGGACCCGGAACCCTGGCCGGGGAGGCTGTGCCCCCCGCGTCCTGGCAGCTGCAGGAGCAGGAGGGGCTGCGGGGACCCCGATCTGGGCTGGTGGCCAGAGCACAGGGTACGGGGGGCTCAGGGGTGACTCCGCGACCTCAGAGGTCAGGGGTGACGGGGCCCTGTGACCTCAGGGGTCAGGGGTGACTGGACCAGTGACCTCATGGGTCAGGGGTGAGGGGACCCACCGTGACCTCAGGGGTCAGGGGTGAGACAGGACCCACCGTGACCTCAGAGGTCAGGGGTGACTCCATGACCTCAGAGGTCAGGGGTGACTCCGTGACCTCAGAGGTCAGGGGTGATGGGACCCACCGTGACCTCAGAGGTCAGGGGTGACTCTGGACCCACCGTTACCTCAGAGGTCAGGGGTGACGGGACCCACCGTGACCTCAGAGGTCAGGGGTGACTCCGCGACCTCAGAGGTCAGGGGTGACTCCGCGGCCTCAGAGGTCAGGGGTGATGGGACCCTGTGACCTGAGGTCAGGGGTGACTCTGGACCCACTGTGACCTCAGAGGTCAGGGGTGACTCCGTGACCTCAGAGGTCAGGAGTGACAAGGCCCACCATGACCTCAGAGGTCAGGGGTGACGGGACCCACCATGACGTCAGGGGTGATGGGACCCACCGTGACCTCAGGGGTCAGGGGTGACGGCACCCACCGTGACCTCAGAGGTCAGGGGTGACAGGACCCACCGTGACCTCAGAGGTCAGGAGTGACTCTGGACCCACTGTGACCTCAGAGATCAGGGGTGATGGGACCCACCGTGACCTCAGAGGTCAGGGGTGACTCCGTGACCTCAGAGGTCAGGGGAGAGACAGGAGTGAGTATGAAGGGACCCATCTTGGCCACATGGCCCATGTTCTCCACGTGTGGTTTTGTCCTGCACACGGGAGCACACGCGTGTGCTGGGGAGGCACCCACCTTGGCCACGCGGCCCGTGCCCTGCACACGGGAGGCCACGCGTGTGCTGGGGAGGCACCCACCTTGGCCACGCGGCCCACGTCCTGCACATGGGAGCACACGCATGTGCTGGGGAGACACCCACCTTGGCCACGCGGCCCGTGCCCTGCACACGGGAGCACACGCGTGTGCTGGGGAGACACCCACCTTGGCCACGCGGCCCGTGCCCTGCACACGGGAGGCCACGCGTGTGCTGGGGAGACCCACCTTGGCCACGCGGCCCACGTCCTGCACATGGGAGCACACGCGTGTGCTGGGGAGGCACCCACCTTGGCCACGCGGCCCGTGCCCTGCACACGGGAGCACACGCGTGTGCTGGGGAGGCACCCACCTTGGCCACAAGGCCCGTGCCCTGCACACGGGAGTACACGTGTGTGCTGGGGAGGCACCCACCTTGGCCACGCGGCCCACGCCCTGCACACGGGAGCACACGTGTGTGCTGGGGAGACCCACCTTGGCCACGCGGCCCGTGCCCTGCACACGGGAGCACACGTGTGTGCTGGGGAGGCACTCACCTTGGCCACGCGGCCCACGTCCTGCACACGGGAGGCCACGCGTGTGCTGGGGAGGCACCCACCTTGGCCACGCGGCCCGTGCCCTGCACACGGGAGGCCACGCGTGTGCTGGGGAGGCACCCACCTTGGCCACGCGGCCCGTGCCCTGCACACGGAAGGACACGCGTGTGCTGGGGAGACCCACCTTGGCCACGCGGCCCGTGCCCTGCACACGGGAGCACACGTGTGTGCTGGGGAGACCCACCTTGGCCACGCGGCCCGTGCCCTGCACACGGAAGGCCACGCGTGTGCTGGGGAGGCACCCACCTTGGCCACGCAGCCCGTGCCCTGCACACGGGAGGCCACGCGTGTGCTGGGGAGACCCACCTTGGCCACGTGGCCCACGTCCAGCACACGGGAGGCCACGCGTGTGCTGGGGAGACCCACCTTGGCCACGCGGCCCACGTCCTGCACACGGGAGCACACGCATGTGCTGGGGAGGCACCCACCTTGGCCACGCGGCCTGTGCCCTGCACACGGGAGCACACGCGTGTGCTGGGGAGGCACCCACCTTGGCCATGCGGCCCACACCCTGCACACGGGAGCACACGCGTGTGCTGGGGAGGCACCCACCTTGGCCATGCGGCCCGTGCCCTGCACACGGGAGGCCACGCGTGTGCTGGGGAGACCCACCTTGGCCACGCGGCCCGTGCCCTGCACACGGGAGGCCACGCGTGTGCTGGGGAGGCACCCACCTTGGCCACGCGACCCATGCCCTGCACACGGGAGGACACGCGTGTGCTGGGGAGGCACCCACCTTGGCCACGCGGCCCGTGCCCTGCACACGGAAGGACACGCGTGTGCTGGGGAGACCCACCTTGGCCACGCGGCCCGTGCCCTGCACACGGGAGCACACGCGTGTGCTGGGGAGGCACCCACCTTGGCCACGCGGCCCGTGCCCTGCACACGGGAGCACACGCGTGTGCTGGGAGACCCACCTTGGCCACGCGGCCCATGTCGGCCGGGCCGGCCCGCTCGTGGGGGAACTCGGCGAAGACGCGCTCGATGGCGGCGATGACGGCGTCGCAGTCGGGGGCGCGGGGCGGGCGGCCGCGGGGGAAGTGGAAGGCGGGGATGTTCTGGCCGGCGGGCGGCGGCCGCGGCTCCTCCCTCCGCGCCTGCACCTGCGGGGGGGGGGGGCGGGGGCCGCGGTCAGAGCCCAGAGGGGGCGCCTGAGCTCACACGCCTGACACACGCCTGGTCACACGGCTGATCGATCACACGCCTGATCGCACGCCTGGTCACACGGCTGATCGATCACACGCCTGATCGCACGCCTGGTCACACGGCTGATCGATCACACGCCTGATCGCACGCCTGATCACACACCTGATCGATCAGACGCCTGATCACACGCCTGATCACACCCCTGATCGATCACACGCCTGACCACACGCCTGATCACACCCCTGATCACACGCCTGAGCTCACATGCCTGATCACACACCTGATCGCATGCCTGATCACACGGCTGATCACACCTGACCACACGCCTGATCACATGCCTGAGCTCACACGCCTGATCACACGCCTGACTCACACATCCGAGGGACACACCTGATCACATCCCTGATCACAAGCCTGACCACACGCCTGATCACCCACTTGATCCCATGCCTGATCACACGCCTGAGCTCACACATCCAAGGAACACACCTGATCACACACCTGACTCACACACACAGTGAGAGCCACCTGCCAAGGTGGCTCAGTGCTTGAGCGTCGACCTAGGAACCAGGAGGTCAGGGTTCGATTCCCGGTCAGGGGCACAGACCCGGGGTGCGGGCTCCATCCCCAACCAGGAGGGGGCGTGCAGGAGGCAGCTGGTCCGTGGGTCTCTCTCCTCATGGATGTTTCCATTACTCTCTCCTTCCTTCCTCTCTGAAATCAGTAATATACACACACACACACACACACATAAATACACATATATACACATAAATACATATATACACACACATAAATACACATATACACAACTACACACACATAAATACACATACATACACACATAAATACATGCATATATACACACATAAATGTATATACACATAAGTACACATATATACACAGAAACACATATACACATATACACACACATAAATACACAATACACACATAAATATACATAAATACACATACACACATAAATACATATATACACCGGTTTCTGCAATGTGTGTTTCTCTTTCTTTCTGAAATCAATAAAAATACGTTTAAAAAATAGAAAAAAAGAACCGAAACCGGTGTGGCTCAGCGGATAGAGCCTCGGCCTGCGGACGGGAGGGTCCCGGGTTCGATTCCCAGTCGAGGGCATGGACCTTGGTGGCTGAGGGCACATCCCCAGTGGGGGGCGTGCGGGAGGCGGCGGATGGATGTTTCTCTCTCATCGACGTTTCTAGCTCTCTGTCCCTCTCCCTTCCTCTCTGTGAACAATCGATAAAATGTATTGAAAAATAAAAATAAAAAAATAAAGTGACACAAAAGGGGGACCCCCTCCAAGGAGCAGAGGCACCTTCCGGACGGAAGCAGCAGGTCCCAGGGGCCGGAGGGAGAGCCGCCGAGCTCGCTTGGAAGACCTCGTGGGCGGGACAGGAGGTGTCTACACACCAGGACAAACACACGCACAGAGGACGGAAGGCAGACACCGGCTCACGGACACGCCAAGGACACACGTCATGCTGAGCAAACACGCCCACACGGAAGGCCCAAACGGCAGAGGGACCGAGAGCCAGCAGGCGGAGGGGGGCAGTGGGGGTCAGTCTGACATGAGGAAGTCATTCATACATGCACACGCGTGTGTGCATGCATGCACGCTAGAGGCCCAGCCCACAAACGAGCACAGAAAAGTCTGTCATTCATACACCAGAGGCCCAGCACACAAACGAGCACAGAAGGGTCCGTCATGAGGAAGTCATTCATACATACACACGTGTGTGCACGCATGTACACCAGAGGCCCAGCGCACAAACCCGTGCACAGAAGGGTCCGTCATGAGGAAGTCATTCATGCATGCACACACGTGTGCACGCATGTACACCAGAGGCCCAGCACACAAACGAGCACAGAAGAGTCTGTCATTCATACATACACGCGTGTGTGCATGCATGCACGCTAGAGGCCCAGCCCACAAACGAGCACAGAAAAGTCTGTCATTCATACATGCACGCGTGTGTGCACGCATGTACACCAGAGGCCCAGCCCACAAACGAGCACAGAAGGGTCCGTCATGAGGAAGTCATTCATGCATGCACACGCGTGTGTGCATGCATGTACACCAGAGGCCCAGCCCACAAACCTGAGCACAGAAGGGTGTCATTCATACATACACACGTGTGTGCATGTACACCAGAGGCCCAGCCCACAAACCTGAGCACAGAAGGGTGTCATTCATACATACACACGTGTGTGCATGCATGTACACCAGAGGCCCAGCACACAAACGAGCACAGAAGGGTCCGTCATGAGGAAGTCATTCATATGTACACACGTGTGTGCACGCATGTACACCAGAGGCCCAGTCCACAGACTCGTGCACAGAAGGGTCCCTAGCAGCTGATGTCCGGGGCCTGTCTTTGTTCCCCGCTGCCCCCTGGTGGCCAGCACACGGCATAGCGGGCAGTCAAACTCCTGGTCGGTCGGTCGAACGCCCGAGGGGACACTTTGCATATTAGACGTAAGTGGTTTAATGCTTTCAGAGAAGAGAGGGAGAGATACAGAAACCCCCAGGAGGAGGGAGAACTACGGACCGGCTGCCTCCTGCACGCCCCCTACTGGTTGGGGACGGAGCCCGCAACCCGAGCCTGTGCCCTTGGCCGGGAATCGAACCCGGGATCTCCTGGTTCCTAGGTCGATGCTCAATCCCTGAGCCACACTGGCCAGGTGGGGGAGTGTCACATTATTTATCTTATTTTTAAAAATATATTTTTATTGATTTTTTACAGAGAGGAAGGGAGAGAGAGAGAGAGAGAGAGAGAGAGAGAGAGAGAGAGAGAGAAACATCCACGAGGAGAGAGAATCAGGGACCGGCTGCCTCCCGCACGCCCCCCTACTGGTCGGGGACGGAGCCCGCCACCCGGGCCTGTGCCCCTGACCTGGATTTGAACCCTGACCTCCTGGTTCCTAGGTCGACGCTCGACCACTGAGTGTTTGGCACGATATTTTATTTTATTTATTTATTTTTTAAATATATTTTTATTGATTTTTACAGAGAGGAATTGAGAGGCACAGAGAGTGAGAAACGTCGATGAGAGAGAAACATCCATCCGCTGCCTCCTGCACGCCCCCCACTGGGGATGTGCCCTCAGCCACCGAAGTCCATGCCCTTGACCGGGAATCGAACCCGGGACCTTTCCGTCCGCAGGCCGACGCCCTATCCGCCGAGCCACACCGGTCCCGGCTGGCACGGTATTTTAGACACAGGATGGGCTTATCTGTGCGCGACCCCGTGTGTGTACGAACACCCACTCAGCACCCAGCATCCAGCACCCAGCACCCAGGGGTGTGCCGGCAGGAAAGACAGGGACTCCCCTCCCTTCCCAGCCCCCCAGCACCCAGCTGACCGGACGAGATGCCAAGCAGGCTGGTGCGGACACGGGGGATTTGCAGGCTTAATCTCCGGGACAGAAATAGCCGTGTCCTGGCAGCTGCTGGGCACATTCCTTCCCCCGCCTGCTGCCTCCGCGCCCGCCTGCCGCCCGCTGCCCCACGGGGCTCAGCTGCCCGAGGGACCGTGCTCGCAGGCCCCGGCCGCACCGATGAGGCTGCAGAAAATAAATCAGCAAAACCCTCCATGTGGGCCCTGGCTGGTGTGGCTCAGTGGATAGAGCCTCGGCCAGCGGACGGAAGGGTCCCGGGTTCGATTCCTGGTCAGGGGCATGGGCCTCGGTGGCGGGCACATCCCCAGTGGGGGGCGTGCAGGAGGCAGCGGATGGATGTTTCTCTCTCATCGATGTTTCTAGCTCTCTGTCCCTCTCTCTTCCTCTCTGTAAAAACTCAATATATTTTTAAGAAAGTAAATAAATAAAATAAAATAAAATTTAAAAAAACACACAAAAAACGGTTTGTGTGGTTGGGGGACAGGTACCAGCGTGCAGCGGAGGCCTGAGACATCGCCTGGGGGCGCCCAGGGGAACCCCAGTGTCAGAGGGCAGGCACCTGAGGGTCCCAGGGCACAGGCTGGACACAGGAAGTGACCTCGTCCCAGCTGGGACCACAGGGCTGTGCGGGAGGGGCGCGGGGACCACCCAGCCAGGTGGGGTGCGCAGGCTGGATGGGGGTGCACAGGGCGGGGGTGCTCAGGATGAAGGTGCTCAGGATGGGGGTGCACAGGTCGGATGGGGGTGCACAGGGTGCGGGTGAACAGGGTTGGGGTGTGCAGGCTGGATGGGGGTGCACAGGGTGCGGGTGCACAGGGTTGGGGTGCGCAGGCTGGATGGGGGTGCACAGGGTGGGGGTGCTCAGGGCGGGGTTGCGCAGGTTGAAGGTGCTCAGGATGGGGGTGCACAGGCTGGATGGGGGTGGATAGGGTGGGTGTGGACAGGGTGGGGGTGCACAGGGTGGGGGTGCACAGGGTTGGGGTGCGCAGGGCCGGCCGCGGAGCTCCGTGGGGTCCTGAGCCCGGTGAGCCGCGATGCCTGGGGAAACCAGGAGCTCAGCGCCCGCGGGGACCCGCCCTCCCCACCGGAAGGCGGGCCCTGCTCCAGGGCGGAACGGACTGCAAAGAGCGAAAGGTGCGCAGAAAAGAGGAGCCGGAAGTGAGGGTGAGCGGAGTCCAGGTGAAGGGGACCCGGAAGTGAGGGTGAGGAGAGTGCAGGTGAAGGGGAACCGGAAGTGAAGGTGAGGAGAGTGCAGGTGAAGGGGAACCGGAAGTGAGGGTAAGGAGGGTCCAGGCGGAGAAGGGGAGCCGGAAGTGAGGGTGAGGAGAGTGCAGGTGAAGGGGAGCCAGAAGTGAGGGTGAGGGGGGTGCAGGTGAAGGGGAACCGGAAGTGAGGGTGAGGAGGGTCCAGGTGGAGAAGGGGAGCCGGAAGTGAGGGTGAGGAGGGTGCAGGTGAAGGGGAACCGGAAGTGAGAGTGAGGAGGGTGCAGGCGGAGAAGGGGAGCCGGAAGTGAGAGTGAGGAGAGT